GATTAGAGTGCGTTGGAAGTGCGTGTGTAGGAGAGAGATTTAAGGATTTATGATAAATTATATAATGTGACTATGTGAGGATTGTTGTTATGTTGTTTTGTGGTTAAATTTATCAAATGTTCTTCTATTCTATGCTCATAATGAGTATAAGAGAAATAGATGTTTAATGATGAAATAGATGCTCATTCTTACTAAACTTTTCAGGGAACAACGATGACGACGCCCCGAGAACGAATTAGATTAATAGATCGTTCTGTACAATGTAAATTAAATTACATATTTAATGAGTATCAGAGAACTTGTTATTTTAAGTTGGCCATAAACTGTGATAATATACCCAACCATATTTATATTTTAGAAATGAAATTATATTATAGTATTCCTTTGGCTTTTCCTATAAATGATAGGATTCACCACATCCTATGTATATATATATATATATATATATTTATAGAGGTACGATTAGGACTTCGGTAGCAATGATTACCTATATACCTACCATGACCATGATTATCTCAGAATGATGACCCAAGTAACTTTTGAGTTGGTCACAAGCATTGAGGTCGCGACTGATTTTAGCGATCTTTATTTTAGAGATGATAAGGATCTAGATTCTGAGGATCTAGTGGAGATTAAGAGATGGCACGGTGATGATTGATACTGGGTCCTCAGTGTTTTAGATATGGATCATGATTGCTCTGGACTTGATGTATTTTGGTTATGTAACTATTATCCTAAGTCTTATATGTTGTTAATAACAGTTTGTAAATTATTGTATTTATTATATGTAATTGAAAGTTCAGTATCTATATTTCTAAAATTTGTTCTGATATATTATAATCATTAAATTTACAGTTAATTTTATCTCATTTCATCGTGTTGGTAAATTCAGTGAATGATTTTATTTATAAAAATTTTTTAATTTACTCATATTTTTGTATCACCTATTATATACAAAATTTTAAATTTACATTTTATCCCAATTTTATATAAATAAATAATGCGATAAAAAATTTAAAATTTAGGATATATGCATCAACTTTATTAACAAATGAGAGAATAACTCTCGTATTATATATTATTTCATATTATGATTAATTCATGAATAAATCTAGGCCATTAAGCCAATGTCTTTCATATTCAACCAAACGGTACTAGACTAACCAAATTCCATATATGATTTAAAAAAAAATAATATTATTATCAAATGTTGCTCTTGTTGCATGACATTTTAATATCGTAATTTTAATTTCTAAACTTTTAATCTCTTATATCACATTCATCTTTCGCTCTTCATTGATACTAAATGCAATTTTGTAACTATAAATGACTTCAACAGTAGTGACATTATCTTATGTGAAATTATTAACTCAGTAATTAATAGCACATATAATGCTAACTCATGTTTAAAAAAACAAAACATAAACTATCTTAAAATTCCACTCATTATTTCTTCCTACAAAATCTTTTTTGTTTTCTAAACAATATACTTACTCTTATTTTATGTTATTGGATCTTAAAAATGAAAATGTTAATATAATTTATTGTATAAATAATTTATGATAAAAAATTAAGTAACCCTTAAAATTAAATAATAAAATAATAAAAATTAACACTTGTTAATTTATTGCGTTTAATATATTAACAAAAGAGATAAAAATTTAGCAAATGATAAAAATTTAATCTGTAATTTACTTTTAAATTTTGATTTTTGTATGGTGTTTTAAAAGTATTGGTTTAATTTATTGTAATTTTTAAAAATTCTGAAGTAAGTCCCTATTTTTAACTTACTAAGTATGTTTTTCAAAATGCCCTTTTAGACCTATTACGAATAAATCTTGTTAATTCTTTTATTATATTATTATTATTATTTATTTAAATAGGTTAATGTGTTAGGCAAGAAATATCTCTTTCAATGACTTTGAACCTAATAAAATTAACAAGAGGACTTCAATAATATTATTTTAAAATTACAAGGACTTAAGCTAATGTTTTTAAAATGCAGGACAAAATCAAAATTTAGAAATAAATCAGAGACAAATTATATATTTAACTTATACATTATCAACTTGCAAGCTACTCATGCGTGGCACAGATAATTTTAATTTCATTATATTAATCATATGAGTGTTTATATTTCAATAAAATTTATAAATAAAAACTAAAATTATAATAAGTTTTATAAATAACAATAAATACTCTATTTTATTGGATAAAAAATCAAATATAAAAAGTTTTGAAATTGGGAACTATAATTTTAAGAAAAAAAATATTTTAATTAATATGCATGTCATTTTTACTTATACAATAAATTAATATATTTTGAGTGAATACTAAAAGTATAAACTAAAACTAATCAAAATTTAATTTAATAAGTAATTTTTTTTCAAATAAGTCATTAAATATGCTCTCATCATTGTTAAATAATTTATATTTTGAAGAGAAAAGAATTATTTGTTTTAATTAGAGATAGAATTAGTGATACATTTTTTTTTACTTTAGTTGATTAATTAGAGACAAAATAAATTTTAAACAATTGAATTCTCTCTATTATATTTTATATTATTAATGATCTATGCAGAGATGAAAAATATTGAGACAAACAATTTTTGTCTCTAATACATAAAATATTCTTTTTATTCATTAAATTTTGTTCCTAATAAAGAAAAAAGTGTCTTTATTGTCATCTTTAATGTGTTACTAATTCAACTTTTACTAGTTGTGATGGTATGGACTTTTTGCACCCAAAACCAACCAAATCTACAGTCTGAAGAGCCTTGGTATGCATCAATCAATTCATGGTTCTCTAATGAAGAGAGTGAGTTATGTTTCATTAGTTGCAAGCTCTCTACCAACACCTTTTGCTAGAAATACAACCCCTACATCACCACTAAGTCCTCATCTATGTGATTGTCGTGTCATTGAAGAAAATTCTTAAGGTGTTATGAGATTTATACTGACACCAAGCTTAAAAGACAAATGTAGTAGCAAAAGGAAATTAAAGATATTAATTTGTGTAGTTATGGTGTATATATGTGTGTGTCTGTGTGCTTTTTTTTTTTTTTTCCCTAAAGGATGCAAAGGTTTAGGGATATGCTGCTCTGACCACACTCTTTTATTGGAAATAATTGTCACTTTAGTCAGTCTTTTTTTGGCAAAATAATACATTTGTTTGGAACATGTTTGTCTTATTAGGTATTTAGGATGTTGATGGACAATTTCATTTTGAAAATTAGAATATGAAACATTGGATTTCCACAACGACAATCCCTAGTATTATTTTCCTTTTAACTTTGCAGTTTTAAGTTTGACATCCATTTCGATTTTGTATTGTAACATCAATTTTAAAACAAATACAGCCAAACTAAGACAATTTCTATCATGCATCAACTTTATTAGAAATGACAGAATAACTTTCATATTATATATTACTTCATATTATGATTAATTCATCAATAAACGTAGGCCATTAAACCAAATATTTTTCAAATTCAACCAAATGTGTACCTCAACATACTAACCAAACTCTATATATGATAAAAAAAAAATTATCATTATCAAACGTTGCCCTTATTACATGACATTTTGATATCTTAATTTTAACTTCTAAACTTTCAATATCTTATATCACATTTATTTTCCACTCTTCATTCATACTAAATGTAATTTTGTAACTAGAAATGACTTCAACAAGTATTGACATTATCTTATGTGGTATTATTAACTTAGTAATTAATAACATCTATAATGCTTACTCATGCGAAAAAAAAAAATACAACATAAACTATCTTAAAATTCCACTCATTAATCCTTCAACAACATCAACTTTACGTTATCTACATGTATTCATAGAAGAGCCTACCAAGTTTGCCGACCACAATTACCTCCCCCTCTATAATAAGGCTAGTACTTTAAAACCTAAACATGCCCAACAACTCCATTGATCGTTACTTGAGGAGAAATGGGACAGTTTCTCACCAATGGCCATTTGCAAGGAATTGTGGAAGCGAAAGGAAACGGGGCTGTTTGATTTAAGGAAGAAGAAGAAGAAGAAAAGGTTAGGACGGATTCTTAGGGGGATGAAATGAAGAAAAGAATCATCTCAACATGTCACTTGACATGTCATGCCCAATTTATTATTGGTTTTGGACATTGACTAAATCAAGGACAAAAATTGATGGAAATTTTGCAGTCTCAGGGACAATAATAAACATCCGCTATAATTTTAAAGACGAATGTAACTGTTAACAAATGTAAAATAAAAATATTAAAAATTGTACTGCTGAACTTCTCTTATGATTTTCGTTGCACCCCTAAAGATAATTTTCAATGAAGAGTTTTTAATTATTAATTTCTTAATAATTAAAATTTTATCCTGAGACAGCTGCCTAGACATCCAGTTGACAATGAAGCCTCCACTTTTTCCTACAGTTCTACGGGACAAGATTACAGCTAGCATTAATGGATAATAGTAAAATCACAAAGATCAACGTAACTCGTTGAGCCATGTGGATAACTAAAGACGTTTCATTTCACTCTACCTAACTGAAGACGTTTCACTCTATTCTACCTCAAATTTTTGGAACAAATAGGCAATTAACCATACACACTTAGGTGGTAATAAAATTACGACATCATAATCAGATCACTCACTCCTGCATAAATCCCAATTGAATGCATACAACTACCACTGGTCCCCTGGCATTTACCATGGATATAAAGGAGTCCTTTTCTACTTAAGATATTCAGATCCATGATTGAGTTGCTTATCAATTTTTCATGGATTAAATAATCAACTCCAATCCACCACCAGATAGGCGTGGGCAAGGACTAAGGAGTAAGGACCATCCACAACTATACTTGTACTATTTGTCACCTAGTGAATTACCTTATATCCGTAAGGTCCAGCCATATTCATGCCCCCACATGTCATCGATGTTCAAAGTGGTCGTACTCAGGGACCTAAATTCAACACATGCAGCTACAGCCACAATTTTAATGCCCTGATCATTTTGTCCATATCAGCTCATTAGTATAACCCTTGTCTCACACAAGTACACATAGCTGAAGTATACTAGATTTTTCAATTTCACCACCGATTTAGAAATTATAATAGAAATCCTTCAATTACACCCCCCCCCCTCCCCAGACAAGGCCATTCCTCCTTCTTATTCTCATGGCTTCCTGCCTCCACTGACGTTGCAAAATGGGAAGAACTCCTTGCTGCAGTCATGAGGAACTGAGAAAAGGTGCATGGACGGTTCAAGAAGACCAGAAACTTATTGCTTACATTCAGAAACATGGCACAGGAAGCTGGCGCACCTTGCCACAGAAAGCTGGTCAATTTTTATGCCTTAAATTTTATATTGTTCAGTAGATCACTACTCTAGAATAATATTTGGGTCAATAATTTCGATCTTATTATATTATAATAATTTTTTATCCCCATGGATAATTAGTTACCATTGATTGTTCATAAAGGCTGAGACAGAGTTGATAGAATTAGTTTGGCTAACATGTTTAAGTAGAAAATAGCATTTGTCATTACAATGAAAAGATGTAACATTTTAGTCCTTGTGGTATTGTTCAGGTCTTCAAAGATGTGGAAAGAGTTGCAGGCTGAGATGGTTTAACTACCTCAGACCTGACATTAAGAGAGGACAATTAACCCAAGAAGAAGAGGAGACGATAATAAAACTTCACGCGGTTCTTGGCAACAGGTATAAGATCTAGCTGCAAGCTGGAATATACAGTCATTAGTGTTGGTAATAAGGGACCCAGCAGAATTTTTGCATTTAGTATACATGATTTAGGAATTTTTTACAAGAATAATACTATTTCCCCATCAATCAAATTATGCTCTTTCCAATGGGTAATACTAAAATGTAGCTTTGCAGCTTAACCAAGAAACTTGTTTTAATGGTAAACATGGTGGACAAATTTTGATTACATTGCGTTGATTATATTATTTTCCTGCTAGGTGGTCAAGTATTGCAAAGCACTTACCAATGCGAACAGATAACGAAATCAAGAACTATTGGAACTCATATTTGAAAAAGCGCTTTGAAAAGAAATGCATGGATCCAATTAGCACTGTTAGTTCCACAGAATCAAAATCCACTCGCTTGTACACGGTTCCATCAAAGAAAACATCATGCCATGGACCAAACGCCACTACAAACCAGTCAGTTTCATCCTCAACTAAGCTTCTCAACAAAGTTGCTAGTAAAATTCTTGCATCTGGTTACCTTGATGCAATCAAATCATGCCAACCCGTTGGTGCTGGGAACAACACTAATGAGAGTGTTATTAACCCTGGAATTGGGCTAAAGGATAATATTAGAGAGACCCTTGTGCCTAATTTGACCTCCATGTCAAGTAATAATTCATCAACTTCTGCCCAAATACTGAACAAAATGGCCACTTCACTCCCTCATAAAGTTCTTGGCCTTGAAGCTGCAAAAGCTGTGTTTTCAAAAATGATGGAAAGTGGGGAAAAGGGTGAGACTACAAGTGATGGTAGCTTTGTTGGCAGTGATGAATTTGGAGTTTGTTTAGATGCTTTAAGCCTTTTTGAGGAAGGACCACACATAACAACAATAATTGGTTCCCCTTCTAGGCCTACTACACCAATGTTCAATAATCAAGTGACCACACCCTCATGCTTTTCAGAAAATGAAGATAGTTGGCAATGCGTTTCATCTAATTATGTTTCTTTCACAAACTGTGCTGAAATCAGCATGGTTGAGTCTTCTAGTTCCACGTCGTGCTTTCTGTTTGAGAATGTTGATCTTGAAACGTGTGATGATGAGATAAGCAAGTACATTCAGTATTTGTGAGCAAAATGTAAAAACCAAAGTCACTGGCCTCTCCATTGTTTTGTAATTAGGACCCATCTTTCTAAATAAATGGACCTCAATCATCTCAAATTATTTGTATGCAAGATGGTGGACCCCATATCAAAAGTTAAAGTGTATAGACATATAAAAACAATTCTGTCTTTTTTCTTGTCATGTGACGTTGCTCAAATATCTTCCGGCATATTTTTTTTTTGGTAAAATAAAAAGGTAGAGAAAAATAGTCTAAAGAAGAAACTGGCACGTTGAGATATTTTGTCATTCTTTTTATACATATGAATTTATTCTCTAAAACATATGTAGGAATAGATGAAGGGATTTTCCTTTTCTGATAAAGAACGATGATTTTTTTAAAAGAAAATAAGGATTAAAGATTTGTCTACTTAAAATTTTTGCCGGTTCAAACAAGGAAGGTGTCAAGGTCGGACTTCATGTTCTTCATCGTGTGTATCTGCATACTTTAGAAGCTAAGCTTTGTAGGATATTTAACATGAATTTATAGGGAAGTAATGCCGAATTAAACACGCTATTAAAACATAAAATAGCTTAGAGGTTGGAATCACTTTTATGGAATGCTTGGGAAGGCTCTTTTTGAGGTAGCTAGAGTTATTTTTCGAAAATATAAATTTGAAAACATAACATTTTTACGTTTAGTATAAGTTCTGGGGAAATTTTCTAAAATAATTAATTTTTCGAAAAAAAAAAGTTCATCTTTGGTTACTTTTTTTTTATATAAAAATAAACATTTTGAAATCCATTAAATTATTAACTCCACTCACCTTTTTATCATATATATATATATATATATATATATATATATTATCTCTTTTGAGTTATTTCAATCAAACAAATTTTTAAAATATTAAATGTTAACTAAGTATGATGAGATTTATCCTAAATCTATTGAATTTTAAACTTACTAGGGTTAGGATGTAAATCAAGATACAAAATTTAAAATTTGATGCTTAAAATACGAGAAGAAAATTCTGATCACAATATAGAGTTTTATTGGAAGAAAAGGATATCAATTCAAAAATTTAGAATTGGAGAAAAAGAATTTGTTGTTTTGAGAACTGAATAAAACGAAGAAATTATGGTAGGAATGGCGCCACAAACAAGGATGCTTGATAAGCAAAAGAGATCACCACAAGCATAAGTTATTTCTTGATAAGATCAATGATTTGCAAGAAAGAATCCTAGCAGAGAAAATACCCTCTATATTCTGATTTCAATCATGTAATTGTATTCTTCTAAATATTTTTTAATACAATTCATTTTAGGAGTTTGTCCACATGAACTTGACATATTAAAAACAAAAACTAATCCCTTAGTAAAAACATGTTGTTTATGTCCTAGAGGTTAAGTGGACGTATCTTAACCTCAAGTACAAACATTGTGTGTATTCATAGACTTCACACTTGATGTTTTGCTGTTGCAATACTCATTCATTTGGGTATTACCAATAGTCAATATTGCAAATATACAAGTACAATACTAATATTAGGCATGGGTACATGTATATAATACGACATTTAAAAAAAAATAATATGATATGAGTACATCAATTAATCTATATACATGTAAAATTATATAAAATAAAATATGAAAAATTATAGATAAAACAAAGACACGCAAATTTGAACATATCGTATATATAAATTTTAGCACACAAAGATGTCCTAGAACCACTACTAGAATATTGTGATTGCGTTTGTTATAGAATAAATTAATAAACTTGAATCCCTAATTTATTTCAGAATTTAGATCAATTTAAGTGTTCCTAAAATATATAAATATTTGGACTTCGGACCTACACAAGATCTCATATCTGGGACTTACCTTGTACCAGAGATAGAGTTGTTGATCGTTGCTTGTTGTTGCCAAAAATGGTCGCCAATAAGTGCCAAGCTTTAGTAAATTGTAACACAAATTTGGGCAGTTATTTACTTCAATAAATTTAATTTAGATTTCAATTTTCTTTTAATCTAGAAGAATTTGAATTTAAGCAATAATTTTGTCTTATAGATTGAAATGAAACTTAACTCCTTTTTGTTAAATTTATTGATTTATAATAGCTTAAGGAGGATGGAAGCCAAAGGAGACTGGAAATAACACTACTACAAAATGTGTATATATAGACGGATTTATTAACAGATTTTTAAACCATTACAAACAGTTTTTAAAATTACATACGTATTTTTTATATATTAATATAAGGGTATATATGATATATTATAAACGTATTTAAGCAGTTGAGGGGCAAGAAAATCTCGTTAGTGAAGGTATTATGGAGCTCAAGTGATAAGGAAAATATCACATGGGAAACGGAGAATAGGATGAGAGAGTTGTATATAGAGTTGTTTGTTTAGTTAGGTTGAATTTTAGAGACAAAATTCTCTAAAGGAGGGGAGAGTTGTAATGTCCTGAATTTTTGTAATAATATTTTAATATATTAATATAAGGGTATATATGAAATTTACATATGTTTGTATGTTTGATTTATATATATGATGATGTGCATATGCATGTGATAATGTGGACGTGTATGAATATATGAGTATGATTGTGAAGAAGTCCGTATAGTTCGGTTGAAATGTGATGTGGATTTGTGATTTGGCTGGAAATGATTGAAAATTTGGCTAAGTGTGTAATGCAGGGGTGTTCTTGCTATAGCAAGAAGATTCTTGCTATAGCAAAAAGGCCCTGGGTAAGCTGGATGATTGATGATTCATATTTTGTACTCACATTTATAGCCTTATTGCATCTTCTAAAATATCTTTCCTTCTTTATTTATATCATTTAGCATGTTTTTTAATTTCTTGCATTAAATTGGTGTTTTCATGAATATTTGCTACCTTTACTTTATATTTTATATTTTTGCTATTTTGACCTTTGTCCACAATTTTTGGCATAACTTTTTTCTGTATATCTCCTTTTTGGCTGATTTTTTTTGCAATGGATTTCTCACTTCATGGGCTTCAATTTGAACATATGGATCATATTGTTTGGAGTTCAGAGCTATTTTCTATTAATTTTTGAAGTTCAGACTTAAAACATACCTTTTATATTTAGGATTTTTATTTAGGGCTTGTATTATAATTACTTGCAGAGGCCTTGGCCTATTTATTTCTGTTTTTATTTAAGACTAGTATATATAGGGGTCAAAAGGTTAATGTTGGATATATCTCCTTTTCACCTCTCTCTCCTTTCCTTTTCATAATTTCATTTTTGGAATAAAGACTTTTTTTCTTTTTTGAGAGAAAACCCTTTTTCGTTTCATTCGCTTGCCTCTTTTCAAATTCTGCTACGTTTTAAATTATTTGTTTCTTGCGAATTATCTCGTCTCAAGCGTGGATTGCAAGATCGATTGATCACTCCGAGTTTGTCTTTTTACTTTTTTGTAATTCTTGGTTAAGATTGGTGTTGCATAATTTGATTGAATTTGGTTTTATCCTTGAGTGTAATATTGATCGATTGATTGCTTTTACATTTGAGATTTAGGCAAATTCGGTATAGTAATCCTAATTTGCATTTGTGATTTGTGATTCGTGATTTCAACTTGTGGTTTTAATTCTCGTTTTTGTTTTGCGTTTCGTTTTACATTTCATTTTGTTTTTGTTTTCAATTTTGTTTTTCGATTCGTTTTGTTTTCAATTTACATTTGTTTTTGTTTTTCTAGGTTAAATGAAATTCATTTTTGTTTTTTAAATTTGTTTTTAATTTTTAGATCCATTTTCAAAGTTTAAATTCATTTTTAGTTTTTAGATTTGTTTTCAAATTTTAAATTGTTTTTAGATTTGTTTTTAAATTTTAAATTCATTTTCAGTTTTAGATCCGTTTTCATTTAAATTGCTTTCATTTTAAATTACTTTTATTTTTAATTCGTCATTAAATCAGAAACTCCCAAATTAACCATCGTTGCATGTTTAAAATTGAAAATAGAATGAATTTGTGTCTGTGTGAGATGACCTAGGTTTGCTCTCTATATTGCAAAAATTAATTGAAAAATCTAGTTTTATGTGACACCATTACGACGTGGTTATCAAAATGGCGCCATTGCCGGGGATACAAGTCAATTTTGTTTTAATTTTATTGTGTACGCTAACTGCTTTATTTAATTTCCTACGTTGTTTGTTTGCGTTGGTCTTGCGTCTTTTATGTTTATGTTGCGTCGTTTGTGTCGCTAGTGTAGGTTACTATTCACTTGCTATTTACCATATTTTAGAAAATTCAAATAAAATAGTTAGAGACTGAATTTTGAGTTGAATTTTTGTATCCACATTTCTTTTAGTGTCTTTTAGATAGTAGAGTTGGCGGATTTGGGAAAAGAGTCGTAGAAAAAAATATACAAGTGAGTGGCAAATAAAAAATTGTGGAAACTTAAAACGGGCATAACTTTGGCTAGGAAACTCAGAATTGACATTATTGCCTATGCATTTGGGATAGAAAAAATTTTCCTATCCATTGCGATTTTCTAGATTTTCAAAAATTGCCTATTTTCTAAAATATTTTTATTTTTTGCTATTTATTTACTTATTTTTCTTGCTGTTAGGCATCTAGTTTACATAGTTGCATCTCAAAAAATTCAAAAAAATTTTGTGGCGTTTTCTTATACCAAAAAGAGATTTATCAAGGCTTTACTTCATCCATATCTCGCATTTTCATAGTACTTACCTTGTAAACTGACACTGTTCACTCAGTAAATGCTTTTTAAGTGTAGGATGTTCTTGGTGATTTTAACTTTGCATGACCAGGTCTGAGATTGAGAAGACACATTCAAGGCTTCAGAGATTACAAAGAGAGTACATTACAAGACGGCTCCAAATAACCAAGAGAGAACCTTGAAGGAGCTGGTTGGCCTTGATGTTGGCCACCAACCACTTTGCATCCAAGTGCCTCAACTACAAGAAGGCGCAGCCACCTATGAATTAAAGTCTGGATTAATACATTTGTTGCCCAAATTTCATGGATTGGCAGGAGAAGATCTGCATAAACACTTGATGGAGTTCCATGTAGTTTGCTCTACCATGCGGCCAGTAGATGTGCCTGAAGACTTCGTGAAGATGAAGGCATTTTCATTCTCACTTTGTGACGTGGCCAAGGATTGGCTTTACTTGCAGCCAACACCAATTATTACATGGAATGACATGAAGAGGAGATTCTTAGAGAAGTTCTTTC